CTGGACGAACAATAATTTATTACCCAGTTTTAATGCTTAAATTTGGAATATTGTGTTTTATAATCCTCGAAATAGACGCGTTTCAATTGAACTGTTTGACGATCGTGAAACCGTCATGTACTTGGAATTTGGTGTTGTTTCACACACGTAAGAAAATGACGAAATGCGTATTCGCCTCCCACATAAATGACAGCATAGCCCATAAAACTACGAACAATGACACTTAAGCCAAAGTAACCAACATAAATCTACCAACAATGTCACTTTAACTCAGGGTATCTCAACATACAGCTACAAACAATGTCACTTTAGCCCATAGTCACTCAAAATATACTACAAACTATTATAGTCCAAGGTAACTCTTCCAATATATATTTTGATATACAATATCTACCAATAAAGATACTTTGTTCCTGAATACTTCAACACAAATCCACGAACAGTGATACTTCAGGCCAGGTCGACTGAACATGTATCATCCAACAATAACACTTTGGTCCAGGGTAAGTCATGATAAACATTCCAACAACAAGCCAGCGAAATAAAACAAACCCTGAAATCCTACCTAATCACAGAGTCACAAGGAGTTTCCTCTTCCTTGTGAAGCATCGGGATATCTCGATATCTGTGTCTATGTAAACGCATGTTCTTGCAGGAAAAGCCGTTTCTATAACGGTTTATATAACGGTTTATGTACAGTTGATTTGACAACGGGCCAAACAAATAAAAGCAACAAGGTGAGATGTTTGAAGATAGCGATGAAAGACGGGAAGCTCTCATGTAACAACCTTTATCACCCGCTGTAAGAAGTAATTACGGTTTCCATCCTCAAAGTCTACAAACGTAGTCTATTAATTATCTCTTTTTGAACTGGTACAGTCATTTATTAATAATCTTTTTTGAAACTGTCAATTTGGTGCTATGAAACTTAAATGTCTGATAAAGAGTATGATCGATGTCAGGTGTTTAGTGGTAAATTTTGCGGGGCCAAATTCTGCAAAGAAAAATACCATTGCATGCATGTTCTCGAGGCGCTTTTGATTGAAAGAGTTTAGCAATATTAGTAACAGATATAGTTCGCTTATATGGCGCTCATATCCACCCATATTGCCTGCTCACGGCGCTACGTACATTACTATGCCCAGTCATAGGACACTATCATACTTTCCGTTACTCTTTCAAGTCCCTGGGGATCATAGAGCCATGCTGTCTATTAGGCGCAATGAACTAAACACTCACATTGCCAGCACATCCTCACGGGTACCCATTTTACAGCTGGGTGAACTGAGACAATGTGGATCTAAGTATCTTGTCCAAGGATACTACGCAAATGTGCCCACCATGGGACCCGAACCTAGGTACCTGCACCGGGGATCGAACCCGGGTCTTCACCTTGATAGGCACGATCCTGACCAATCAATTCATTACCTTGGCTTTTACAACTAGCAAAGATTAGTAGAAATATGTTCTGACGCAATTTTTCTGTAGCAATGCATTGAGCTGTAGTGCGATGTGATGGATAAAGTTTTTTTGGATCGGTGTATGTGGGATTTTTCTTAATCTATCATTTTATTAGTTGACATACACTGAATTAGTTTCACGTCTATTAACTCTCGGTAAGGCATCCATGCGTCCAGGTCCAAAGTAATGGTAGCTCATTAAGGGCCTATTTACCTGACGGGTGCCATCAGACAAGGAAACCAGACCTTACTAGATTCCCTAGATGAACACCTGGTAGCTGCGGTAATCTCTGGTGTGGTTTTGTGTGTGAGAACGCAATACTACAACATTTCAGTACCACTGATTCCCCTTACTGTCGATTCGTACAACATGGTTCCTGGTGACCTAATAGAAACATGGTTAATACTTGGACATTTGATGTAATAGGAAACAGATAAAATATTCTCTTTATCAACACTGGAGAAAGGATGCGTCAGCGAAACTGGAAATAGGGCAGGAAAGAGCTCACCTCAGCAATTGACAGCGTTCATTTCCTGCTCTCCATGTCTTAATACCAGAAGCATTAATGCAGCTTGTCTCCTGGGAAATGTAAGCTAGACAGGACAAGTAGGCAATTTACCCCCTAGTTAGCCTCATCATTTCCACTGATGCTGAATGCCAAAATAGCCAGTGGGAAGAAACGGTGTTTTTGTGACATGCTTTTAAAGTAACAAATATCTTGCGCCAAAACAAATATAATCACTTGATAGAACGGAGTATATAGGCTTCCACGGTTTCCTTTTGATAAACCGAGGTCAGGACATAGTGGAGATGTTTGTAAGTATGTGGATAGATAACACGGTTTGTGTCTCCCAGCCAAATTTATTTTAGATCCGGGCTTTGATTTTGTAGCTTGTTAGACCTTTACGACAGACTGTAGATGTTTTCAATGTTGCTAGGTTTAGTTGTTGTGACGTCAAGGCATGTAAACAAATTAGTGTGTTGTTTGCTCGGAAAAGGGCCCACGACTTGTGTTGTAGCTCAGGGAAAGAATCTGAACAGGATGTTGGAGTAGAAATATCAGCGTATTGGCCTTGATATTTCCACTTGGAACAAGGTAATGTTAGGAGATGAAGGGTGGAGGGTACAGGACTTCGCATGCAGAGTCGAGAATGTTACAGAGTGTAGAGTGTACCGTTTTGTGTAGAGAGTATTTCATTGGGTGGTGGGTGTAGACAGTATACTGTTGGGTGGTGGGTGTAGACAGTATACTGTTGGGTGGTGGGTGTGGATAATATTCTGTTGAGTGCTGGGTGTAGAGAGTATGCCGTTAGGTGTAGAGAGTATTTCATTGGGTGGTGGGTGTAGAGAGTATACCGTTGGGTGATGGGTGTAGATAGTATACCGTTGGGTAGTGGGTGTAGAGAATATGCCGTTTGGTGGAAAGCGTATAGCGTTGGGTGATGGGTGTGGAGAATATGCCGTTGGGTGTAGAGAGTATGCCGTTGGGTGTAGAGAGTATACCGTTGGGCGATGGGTGTGGAGAGTATACCGTTGGGTGTAGAGAGTATGCCGTTGGGTGGAGAGAGTATACCGTTGGGCGATGGGTGTGGAGAGTATACCGTTGGGTGTAGAGAGTATGCCGTTGGGTGTAGAGAGTATACCGTTGGGCGATGGGTGTGGAGAGTATACCGTTTGGTGATGGGTGTGGAGAATATGCTGTTGAGTGCTGTGTGTTGAGAGTATTTCATTGGATGTTGGGCGCAGAGAGTTTGCCATTGGTTGTGGAGCGTAGAGATTATGCTGTTGAGTGGTGTGTGTAGAGAATATGCCGGTGGGTGGGTGTAGAGAGAATGCCGCATGGTGCTGGGTGAAGAGAGTACGCCTCGGGATCTAGGGTGTACTGTGAACAAAGTTGGGTCTATATTGTCAGCAATAGGGCGAAGAATGCATGGCTTCGGGAGTAGCGTAGTTTGTATGACGACGCTGAACCGCGAAGGGTGTATGTTGGGGAATAGTTTCTGCTATGGATGGGTCAGTGAACGATTGTTATCTAATATGTAATATGTCACATTTGAGCTTTTGACAGGTAAACCACGAATGACAGGTAAGCCACGAATGAATGAGTGTACCGTTTTGTGTAGAGAGTATTTCATTGGGTGGTGGGTGTTGACAGTATACTGTTGGGTGGTGGGTGTAGACAGTATACTGTTGGGTGGTGGGTGTGGATAATATTCTGTTGAGTGCTGGGTGTAGAGAGTATGCCGTTAGGTGTAGAGAGTATTTCATTGGGTGGTGGGTGTAGAGAGTATACCGTTGGGTGATGGGTGTAGATAGTATACCGTTGGGTAGTGGGTGTAGAGAATATGCTGTTTGGTGGAAAGCGTATAGCGTTGGGTGATGGGTGTGGAGAATATGCCGTTGGTGTTTGATGACAGACCATCAACAAAGTCATGCATCATGCCAGATGCTATACTGACAGGATTTGATCATGTTATATGCGTAACGCATGAAACAATAAACATGCAGATAAACACTATATGGAAGACGACACACGTAAACCAAAATAACACTTGAACAATGTTATAATTTAAACGGTACACTTTGCGAGACTCGTAAAGTGTATTTCAGTATTTAAGTGAACCATAATTCTATGTATGTATTGTAAAACGATAACACTAGACATGGGCATTCATGTATTCAATACAGGCTAGGATTGACATGAAGGTAGGTGAACTGAGACACGTGTTTATTGATACAGCTAAAACGCCATACCCACTCTGTAATTCAGAACAGAAACATTTTTTTCACGTAAAAGTAGGTGAAGGGAGACAATTGTTTATTGATACAGCTAAGAAGCTATACCCAGTCTGTAGTTCAGGACAGCAACATTTTCGTAAGTATTTTAACTAACGGAGTGAGTGTGCAAACTAGGTTTAACACCGCTTCGTACAATAGTCCAGTTACAGCCTCTCACTGACAGCTTCATTGAGCCAAATACAGATTTGGTCTTCAGCAACCCATGCTTCTAAGAGGCGACTGACGGGATCGGGTGGTAGGGCTCATTGACTTGGTTAACACATGTCACCGTATCCCATTTGCGTAGATTGATGCTCATGTTGTTGGTCAGTCTATTGTCTGGTCCAGACCAGATTATTTTCAGACCGCCGAGATATACAAGTGGAAAATTGCAGAATGTGGCGTTTAACAACACACAAAATCTCCTAAATACAAATGTGATTCTTTAAACCCGCATTGAAATTTCTAATGAACAATGATTTATTGCCCTGTTGGCAAGAAAGAGTGATAAGGAATGTTTTTACTCCGCTTTTTGTAAAATTCCACAAATATCTCAGCGGGGAAGCAAGAATAGAATTCACACATTGTATCAAGGTGGGGAACTGAATGTGCTTCTTGAGGTAACGAACGGAGGCTTGAATCACGAGCTATGGCTTCGTCATCGTCACTGTCCGAAACAGATTTGTTTTTTGCTATGTATGCAATACATCTAATCTATATGTACATTGGCATGTATCTCACTTTATTCTTTATCTGTTTAGGTTACGGTCATGTGGCTCCTAAAACTGACACCGGACGGATCGTCACAATTGGATATGCTGTGTTGGGTATACCTTTGACGTTGTTGTGTTTAACGAATATTGGTGACGTCATGGCGACGGGATTTCGATTACTTTACGGAAAGATTTGTTGTGGTGTGTGTTGCAAATTGTTCCAACGTCGTCGTAGACGTCGTTTACCTGACCTGGAGAAGGGCCTCGCTCATCAGGTCATGGCCTCTGAAGAGGAAGAAGAGGACAAGCCCAAAGAGGTCATCCATGTGCCAACGTCTCTGTGTATACTTCTTATAGCAGGGTATATCTTCGCTGGAGCACTTCTTTTCGCTTTGTGGGAGAAATGGGATTACCTGACAGGGTCGTACTTCTGTTTCATCACACTCAGTACGATTAGGTTCAGCGACATTGTCCCCGGAACGGATACCTGGTCCCAGGAGGAGAAACTGGTGCTGTGTGCAATATACCTGGTGTTTGGCTTGTCTCTCATTGCTATGTGCTTTAACCTTGTACAGGAAGACGTCAAGGCCAAGTGTAGATGGTTGGGCATGAAAATGGGGATTATCGATAAACCGGAATCATCTGTATGAAACTGAAATTATCTAACCATTGAGTAAATGTGATGATTGGTTTGAAAAGGATATGGATTTGGATGTATTTACACATTATACAGCAGCACATATTACAATATTTTTAAGAAATACCTACAGATCACATGACCATTCATTCAAATGCAAAATGTCTTGACTGTATTTTCAACAAGATGTTATTTTCGAACAATATGTACATATGTACATATGTACATATTCCTGGTTAGTTCCTATAGTGCCATTGCTTAATAAATGGTCATTGGAACAAAGGTATTTTTCGCCTTCACAAATGTAAAATATGACAGCAATACCTTTCAAAACGCATGTATATAGCTAGCTCGAAAGCGTAAAAAGAGAATTTTCTCCATATTACCATTATGTACATTTAACCAATCCCTGTTACACCGATCAATGTACATAATTTCCTTATACTGTGAACCTATTGACAAAGCTAAAATGACCTTGAGTGTGATAGTTCAAGGTGATATTTCGTGATTTGATCTGATGACAGGTGTTGAGGCAGAAGCCAATTTTCTCAGCTCCGCTCGCCTCTCCGTTACTCCATCGAGAGGCGAGAGCGAGGCAACGGCCCGAAGCCAAGTATCACAATGGTATTCTGCCAGAGTATCAGCCGTCTGCTAGGTGCAGACATCTTGGGCCTGTGTGGAGTAAGCTTGTCCTACTATACAAACACGTAACGACAATGGAAAAATAAATCATTATTTTCTCACATTGATGGAGGATACCCTACGGTCTTACTACCACGATATACACGAAACCGCCCTGACCACAGAAACAGGCGTAGGTGGTTGTGAAGGGAATGGTTACAATACAAGAAAAGAACAAGATACGGTAGGCCGATTTTAGAAAGATCATGTATGAAAAAGAGTCCAATTTCAATATATTGTGGATTGCCTTCGGTTGAAATTTTAAGGAAGCTTCCCAAACGGCATTGGTGTTTGCCGGATGTATATTATATATGTTCGGATGCGGTGTGTGGTAAGCGACTTCCGGAGGTGTCTTGTAAGCGACTTCCGGGTGTGTCTTGTAAGCGACTTCCGGGTGTGCCTTGTACAGATTCCAGCAGCCTTATTCCGAGATTGTACGTTGACGTATGCACGATCTCTTTTATTTCCTACATGTTTGTTGTTTATTGTTTTGCCTTGATAGTTTATATCACCATAAAGATTTTCCACATTGTTTGACGTCTTTCCGTCCTTTTTTGTAATAATTTGAGAAATATTAACATTCAGTATTTACTAACAGATTGGCGAGGACGTCATACATACATACATACATACATACACACACACACACACACACACACACACACACACACACACACACACACACACACACACACACACACACACACACACACACACACACACACACACACACACATACATACATACATACATACATTTGTATAGCGCCGATATCCAGCTCAGCTCAGCTGCTCAAAGGCGCTTTGTTTTTCCCTCGATCACTGGATGTCAATCTCAACGGCACATCGTATTGTCAATCTCAACTCCCTGGGGATCATACAACTCTTGCAGCCACTAGGCGCACCGAGTTAGTGTGGCATTCCCATCCTTACGAGGTACCCAATCACAGCTGGGTGGACTGGGACACATAGTCACAGTACTTTGTCCAAGTTTACTGCACGTTGCTGTACCCGCAACTGGGTGTTTGCACGTATTCATGTGGCCACCATCTGGTCATATACCAACGGATTCGTGGGTTCTTTTAAGTGCACGGGGTTGTGTACTGTACACTAGGGGTTGTGACAACACGGAAAGAGTCTGCACTCGAAGGTTTTTTACATCCGGTCACAGGTGGGCTCGATCCCGTCACCTCAAACTCGCTGGATCACTAGCCTAGGGTCTTAGCCAGTTCGGCCACCGTGCATGGACTTTACCAGATGAAATACGACAGTATGCTATAGAAACATGGCTATAATTTAATTGGATATCGAATTTAGTTATGAATATCACGTTCAGAATGATATAAACGTTAACATGTTAAGTGAGTTTATCATAGTTATATTAGTCATGCCTTATATGCATTTGGAAAACGTTTAAGTTTTTCAACAATTTGTTATGTTATATACAGACATAAAATTGTCTTACTGCAGAGGTAATCTACCGTGTAGTAGAAAGTAAAAATATGTAGGTAAGATGTAATTGGAGTGTAGGAGACTACTCCGATAACACCCTTTGAAGGGGAATGCTGGAGTAGACAAGAAGTGTTGTTGCAGTCACGCCCTTTCAAGGGGAATGCTGGAGTAGACAAGAAGTGATGTTGCAGTCACGCCCTTTCAAGGGGAATGCTGGAGTAGACAAGAAGTGATGTTGCAGTCACGCCCTTTCAAGGGGAATGCTGGAGTAGACAAGAAGTGATGTTGCAGTCACACCCTTTCAAGGGGAATGCTGGAGTAGACAAGAAGTGATGTTGCAGTCACGCCCTTTCAAGGGGAATGCTGGAGTAGACAAGAAGCGATGTTGCAGGGAATGCTGGGTTACAGTCACGCCCTTTCAAGGGAATGCTGTTGCAGTCACACCCTTTCAAAGGGAATGGAGTAGACAAGAAGCGATGTTGCAATCACACCCTTTCAAGGGAATGCCGGAGTAGACAAGAAGCGATGTTGCAGTCACACACTTTCAAGGGGAATGCTGGAGTAGACAAGAAGTGATGTTGCAGTCACACCCTTTCAAGGGGAATGCTGGAGTAGACAAGAAGCGATGTTGCAGTCACACCCTTTCAAGGGGAATGCCGGAGTAGACAAGAAGCGATGTTGCAGTCACACCCTTTCAAGGGGAATGCTGGAGTAGACAAGAAGTGATGTTGCAGTCACACCCTTCCAAGGGGAATGCTGGAGTAGACAAGAAGCGATGTTGCAGTTACACCCTTTCAAGGGGAATGCCGGAGTAGACAAGAAGCGATGTTGCAGTCACACCCTTTCAAGGGGAATGCTGGAGTAGACAAGAAGCGATGTTGCAGTCACACCCTTCCAAGGGGAATGCCGGAGTAGACAAGAAGTGATGTTGCAGTCACGCCCTTTCAAGGGGAATGCCGGAGTAGACAAGACGTGATGTTGCAGTCACGCCCTTTCAAGGGGAATGCCAGAGTAGACAAGAAGTGATGTTGCAGTCACACCCTTTCAAGGGGAATGCTGGAGTAGACAAGAAGTGATGTTGCAGTCACCCCCTTTCAACAGAAGTGGTTCTTTGCGACGTGGCAGGACACACACAGGAGATAGTAACCCGTGACTGCAATAGTTTCTTCAGAAGGACGCTTTTTTGTCGGTAATCAAACACGAGCTGTAAAGGAACAAGTGTTTTTCATTATCAGTCGTGGTTGTTTAAGCACAGTGAAACACGTTACAGGTAGGCTGCTAGGGTTACCCATTGAGGATATATAATCCTGGAAGTGATGAAGCTCACTTAAGCCAGGAGTGGGGGAACATTTCTGTAGCCAAGCCAACCCATAACTCCGAAATGCTGCCGTCTGTGCCTTTATTGCACGCTCATGAATAGGCATTTTCAGAATGATGATTTTCTCCCCACTCTGAAAAGCATCACGAGATTCTTCCGCTCATAACGACTGTCGTTCATTCTTTCAAGATGGATGGTGCTCTTAGGAAAAGACGCTCTTTGTGATCAGAGGAATACCCCCGTCGTGGCATTCACTGCCAGACATTTACAAGACTTCTCCTGAAAGTACTATATACTTTACAGAACACGTTTTATGTCTAGGGCTTCATGAGAATTCACACTGCACCCTAACATGAAGCAATTTCCACGTTTTCGAATCTGTTCGTTAGAGCTGCCACCCTTGAGCTCTTTTGAGAGTGTAAGAGAGGGTAATTGTGCCCGTAAAACTTTTTATTTTGTTATGCCAGTTTGGCTCTAGATATGTGTAAAATACGACTGTATAACTTTATTTTGTAAGACAAACACCCGAATATAAATACCACGCTGAATAACTGTTCACAGTTAAAGTTTTAACTATTGCGAGAGTTGAGCATGTTTGGCATCAATGAAACATTTTCAGCGTTCTCATTTCAGTATATTACTTAGGTAGTTTTTTTCCATCTGCTTTACAACGACACCACGAAGTTTCAAGCCCAGTGTTAATTTGTGCTCACTGCATTAAGGACCCGTGAAGGTCCGGGTTAGAATTGATCTTCAGTAACCTATGCTTGTCGTAAGAGGCGACTAACGGGATCGGGTGGTCAGGCTCGCTGACTGGGTTGACACACGTCATCGGTTCCCACTTGCGTAGACCGATGTTCATGCTGTTGATCCCTGGATTGTATGGTCCAGACTCGATTATTTAGCTGGAATATTGCGGAAAACTAAACTCACTCCTCTCCACAGTCACTCACTGCATTAAAAAGAAAATTATTTGTGCTGAATGCGTTCTTCCAAGAGCTCAAGGCACAGAGCAAACAAAATGCAAGACCAAAGTTTTATAGCTGCCGTGAAACGTAGATCAGAATAAACCTCTAAGAGTCTCGTGATTCAGAACAAGGAGCCACAGACACATTCTAAAGTTGGCTGAGATTGGTGGATAATGAATTTTAAGCCAATAAAGACACAGCCTACTCCATGACCATTACTACACCTATACGTCATTCAGTAATATAACCCACACATCCCCATTATATGAAGTGTAATGCCCATGCAGTGGGGTTGGGAAGGGGTTGGCATGCTGCCAAGGTGTTTAAGGTTCAGCAACCGTGAGCATCATGAGGCTTGTAAGTGAAAAAACAAAAGCAAGTGTCCAAAAACTATGCACACTGGGAACTTTAAAAACTGCCGTCTATCATTTAACATTTGGAAGATTTCACTAAAGCACGTAGGACCGTTGTTGTTTGTTTGTTTGATATTTAATGTTTCAGTCAGTAGTAATAATTACGTGACTCGAAATGTAAATAATCGAGTCTGGACCAGCCAATCCAGTGATTGATATCATGAGAATCGATCTTTGTAAATAGGCAATAAAACTACACTCCTTAGAATTTTCAATGCGGATTGAAAGAATCACATTTATATTTGGGTAATTTTGTTTGTTTGATGTTTAACACCGTACTCAGCAATTTTCCAGCTAAATATGGCGGCGGTCTGTGAATAATATGGACCAGACAATCCAATGATTAACAGCATGCACATCGATCTACGCAATTAAGATACGTTGACACACATCACACACGACAGCGAGCATGACCACCCGATCCCGTTACAGCAGGCATGTGTGGCTAAAAATAAATTCGTATCATCAAGGGTTGCCTTTGTTATGACTGGTGCCATTTATCAGTGACAAATTCTGACTATGTTTATCTGTGCAATGTACACAGGGGATCCTTGGTTCCAATAATGTGGATTCTTGAACTATACCTAAATGTCTCCGGTATTCGAGACAATAAGAATACCGGTATCAGACTCCACATAACGTAGGAAGCTAATTTCAGGTGTAACCAACCGTTATATTGCTGCCAAATTGCTGAGAACGGCGTAAAACCATTCTCACCCTCTCACCCATAGATAATGAATCTACCGGGTCGTATATTGGCATCGTCTTTGGAGTAATATTTTACAGTAGATCTTACTTGTCACGCTTGTTCATGTGTTAAAACGAAATATACAACATAGGCGGAAGTAATAAGCATGTACAATGCCACTTTTCCAATCCTCCTTATCGTGTTGGTATTTCGACTTCCCTTATTACTGCTGTTCTCACACTGTGTATGCCATGCATTACCTTGTCAGCTCCGTGTCGTGCCCCACTTTATACGTCCTGCTGCAGTCACCTACTTGATACCCCGCCAAATTGCAGAACTGGAGATCAGGAATGACTCTGTCTATTTTGTGATCCATTACCCAATTGTCTCTCACCTAGTTGATGTCAAGCCAAACAGCGTGGAAGGAGCAAGGTGTTCCTATGATTTGCTTCTATCCGAGGTTATGGTAGTATATCTAACAACACCCGATTATATTCTACCACGTGGATCTCAAACAACGTCGCAACACTAATATAACAAATCTACAACGTCGCCCCAATAACAGACGATCTCCTACGACGTGACCCTAAAAACAGATGATCTCTTACCACGTCACACTAAAAACATACGATCTCATACTACGTCGCCTTAATAACAGACGATCTCCTACCACGTCGCCTTAATAACAGACGATCT